GATGGCTCAGAGCCTGGAGCCTGTTTCCGATTCTGTGTCTCCCTCTCTCTCTGGCCCTCCCCCGTTCATGCTCTGTCTCTCTCTGTCCCAAAAATAAATAAACGTTGAAAAAAAATTAAAAAAAGAAAAAGAAAAATGCTGTATTGAGAAATACATACTCTCTCTGGAGTCTGGATGTGAAAAGGAGTCATTCTATCAGGAAAAAAAAAACAGAGAACACAGTCTGCAATTATTTCTCTACGTCAGTGGTTCTCACCCTGAAATGATTTTGTTCCCCACCCCCAAAGGACATCTGGCAATGTCCGGAGACAATCTGGGTTGTCATAGCTGGGACGTGGGACCGGCATCTAATGAGCAGGGGCCACAGACGCTGCCAAGTATCCTACAGTGCACAGGACAGGTCACCACAACCAAGAATTATCAGGCCCCAAATGCCAGCAGTGCCGAGGCTGAGAGACCCTGCTGGCCATGGTTGCCACCAACTAGGAAATACTCAAGATGACATTTGTACATACATGGTTTTTGAGTTTGTGAAACCATTCGCCTTTATGGTTTAATACTTAAAATCATAACAAATACAGGACTACAAAGAATTAAACATGAAAAGCAAAATTCCAAAAGGCACTTTATGTTCCTTTCATCATACTTGTATTGTTTAAACCAGAAAGACCTTGAGTAGGATGAGCTTTAGGCCTTTTGGAAGAGGGTGGAAAAAACACAAATTTTAGAGACAGACAAGTGGCTCCTTTCCCTACCCATTAGTATGTTACTTTGGGCAATGCAATCTTCTGTACCTCAGTTTCAGCACTATAGAACTGTTAAAAGACTAAACGTTAACAGATACCAAAACAAAACACTATCTACAGAATCTAGAACAGAATAGACATTCCGTAAGTTTTAGTTCCTTTATATCTCATGAGCATAGGTACTGGGATTTGTTTTCACGTACACCATCTATTTGTGTGTGTGTGTTTGCCACCTGTTTATACACAAACTGACAAGAAAGTAGGTCTTCCAGACAAGTGGATCCCAGGGGCTGGATGTGCTCTAGAATTCTAAGACTCTATGACGCAATGACTGTGATTCTGTGGTGGTAGGAGTGAGTAGGGCAACTGCTAAGGCTCATTGCTAAGGACTCCATGGGAGGCTAATGGAAGACCATGACTCTAGCTGTGCTTTTCAATCACTTACTCTTCTAATAGAGCTCTGCCATTGAATCATGGAGTCTTCATCTGAGGGCCAAAGATCATCCCACATCATGATACAACCAAATGAAACAGTACTGACTGCCCTTCCCTATGAGCCTCAGAGCTCTCTGCTGGATTTCCTGAAGGGAGAGCCAAAAGTCTTGGGGGTAAGTGCTCTCCTGTCCACGGGTTTTCCTCGGAAGGGAGAAAAGAAGCTATTTTTCCAGGTGTGTCTGAATAGACACAGGAAGGGACTTGATTCCTTTTCTTTTCCCTCACGTTTTGCCTACAATGTTTCCTTCTTCATTAATCACAAAAACCCCTAAGTTATTTGCTTGTACAAATAAGCAGATCTTCAGCAGAAGAGCCAATATGTAGCCAATAATACCATTTTCCTAGATTTTGATGAACAAGAGAAATAAAAATTCTGTTTAGAAATGCACGCAGAGGGCCTTAGAAATGTCTTATTTATGAACATGTCTTAGAAATGTTTCTTGGGGGGGGGGGCTCATTTAACCCTGCAATTAATAACTTCCCTAACCCTGAGGAAATCCTAGGGCTGTTTCATGTGGAGTTAATACTGTTCTTTGAATCCTGGCAGAGAGAAAGGCAGGAAACTGGTATAATTTCCCCAAATATTTTATTGAGGAGGTGACCTCAGGGCATGGTGGCATGTCCCTTGGAGCTAAAAGCCATGTGAGGAGAGGTTAAACTTCCCCTTTGTGCTGTTCCAGGCGTTGGGGGTTCTTTGAAAAGTCTCTCCAAAGCTTCGCCGTGAGCCACAACGTAGACATACAGACAAAACATTTTTCAGTCATGCATGTACCGAGGGGAGGGCTATGTATACAGCCTCTATCTTTAGTACGAGAGTAAAAGTACCACTTTGGGTGGAGCCATCGAGGTGTGGGCTGGGGGAAAAACCCAGAATGCTGGAGGAGAAGCTGTATCCTGAGAAGAGCCACCAGCCCTGCCAGACCACCAATGGTGCAGATTGCTCACAGGCCCGTGAGCCCACTGGGTTACTCTCACCTCTGGACAGGCCCTTGCCGGAAGAGCAGACGAGACATAAACCTCACCCCAGCCCCTCCACTCTAGATCAGCAAACTTCACAGATTTTAGAGAATGGGGCTGAGCCGTAATTCCAAAGGCACAGACTGGATATGGAAACATGTACTCCTATCTGTCCGGCGCAAGGTAAACTGGTAATACAGGGGGTATACTAAGTAGTGAAGGGTGAAAGTGAAAGACGTGAACCTGTAGGACCCAGGTAAGTGAGAAGAAGAGACACCGGACTTTCTGAAGCTCTGAGGGCAGTGGGCAAACGGAAGAGGAAGGCATTCGTGTCGAGGGAGGCGTGACATAAGCATAGTGGGATGTCCCAGGGGCCCGGGAGAGTCCCAAGAGGCTGGGGCACCAGTGACCTCATGTACCCATTTCTCTCCTCCCAGGCTCTCCAGATCCTGCTTGCTCTGATCACTGCGGGTGTTGGAACCATCTTTGCATTCAATTACTTCCATTTCTCCCAGAGATTTCCCCTCGTTTTCCTCACGGGATATCCATTCTGGGGAGCATTTATTGTGAGTACTACCAGTTAGGAGCTTTTGCGAAATTACTTTCAAGACTGGTTTGAACTGCGTCAAGTCAGGTCCCAGGGTGAAGAATCCCATGAATGTGGTCCCCAAGGAGACCAGATAGTCCCTTGTGTGGCAAGAGAAGCAACTCCATTTGGTCATTGCATCTACCATCATCACAGTAATAACTGCTCTTAGGCGTACAGTGTTTAAAAGTTTCCAGAGCCCTGTGTGTAGAGTAAGTCATCTGCTCCTTACTACCAACCTGGGAGATCAGATGGGTAAATACCCTACTTTCTCTTTTGCAAATATGGAAACGGAGGTTGAGAGTAGACAGTCTTTATTTGAGTACAGCCAGCAAAAAATGTTCCATTAGTTTCAGGTGTACGATATAGTGATTTGACAAGTTTATACATGATGCTGTGCTCACCCAAGTGTAGCTAGCATTTGTCAACATACAACACTATTACAGTGTCACTGACTGAATGCCTTATGCTGTGCCTTTTATTCCTCTGATTTATTCATTCCCCAGCTGGAAGCCTGTATGTCCCTCTTCTCTTAACCCATTTCTCCATTCCCCCTACTCCTCCCCTCTGGCAACTGTCAGTATGTTCTCTGTATTTATGGGTCTGGATCGCTTTTTTGTTTTGCTTATTCCTTTTTTTTTTTTTCAGATTCCACATATAGGTGAAATCATATGGTATCTGTCTTTTTCAGTGTGACTTATTTCACTAAGCATAATATCTTCTAGTTCCGTCCACACTGTCTCAAATAGCACAATCTCATCTTTTTTTATAGTTGTGTAATATTCCATTGTATATATACTGCGTCTTCCTTTTCTTTTTGTCTATTGATGGACACTTAGGTTACTTTCATATCTTGGCTATTGCAAATAATGCTGCAATAAACACAGGGGTGCATTTATCTTTTTGAATTAGTGTTTTTGTTTTCTTTCAGTAAATAACCAGTTGTGGAATTGCTGGATCATATGGTGTTTCTCTTTTTACTTTTTTGAAGAAACTCCATACTATTTTTCACAGTAGCTATACCAATTTACATCCCCACCAACAGTGTGCAAGCATTCCTTTTTCTCCACATCCTTGTCAACACTTGTTATTTCTTGTCTTCTTTTATTTTAGTCATTTTAACAGGTGTAAGGTTATATCGCATTGTGGTTTTGATTTCCCTGGTGATTAGTAACGTTGAGTATCTTTTCATGTGTCTATTGACCAAGTATATGTCTTCTTTGGGAAAAGGTCTATTCAAGTCCTTTGCCCATTTTTAAATCATATTGTTTGCTTTACTTGGTGTTGAGTTGTAGAAGTTCTTTATATATTTCAGTTATTAACACCTCATTGGATATATCATTTACAAATGCCTTCTCCTATCCAGAAGGTTGTCTCTTAAATTTTTGTTGATGGTTTCCTTCACTGTGCAAAAGCTTTTATTTTGATGCAATCCCACTAATTTATTTTTGCTTTTGTTTCCCTTGCCTTAGGACACATGTCCAGAAAAATGTTTCTATGGCTGATGTGAAAGAAATTACTGCCTATGCTCTCTTCTAGGATTTTTATGGTTTCAGGTCTCACATTTAGATATTTAATACATTTTAAGTTTATTTTTGTGTATGGTGTTAGAGAAAGTAGTCCAGTTTCATTCATTCTTTTTTTTACATATAGCTATACAGTTTTCCCAGCATCACTCATTGAAGAGACTGTCTTTTTCCCACTGTATATTCTTATCTCCTTTGTCACAGATTAATTGACCATATAATTATGGATTTATTTCTGGGGTCTCCATTCTGTTCTATTGAGCTATGTGTCCACTTTTGTGCCAGTGCCATACTGTTTTGATTACTATAACTTTGTAGTGTATCTTCAAATCTGAAATTGTGATACCTCCAGCTTTGTTTTTCTTTCTTAAGATGCTTTGGTTATTCAGGGTCTTTTGTGATTCCACACAAATTTAGTGCTTTAGTATTATTTGTTCTGGTTCTGTGAAAAATGCCATTGGTATTTTGATAGGGATTGCATTGAATCTGTAGATGGCTTTGGGCACTGTTACTAGTGTATAAAAACACTGCTGATTTGGGGGTATTAATTTTGTATCCTGAAACTTTACTGAATTCATGTATTACTTCTGGTTGTTTTTGTTTTGTTTTTTGTTTTTTGTTTTTGGTGGAGTTGGTGGAGTCTTTAATATTTTCTACATGTAGTATCAGGTCATCTGCAAATAGTGAACATTTAACTTCTTCTTTACCAATACGGATGTCTCTTATTGCTTTTTCTTACCTGACTGCTCTGACTAGGACCTCCAATATTATGTTGAATAAAAGTGGAGAGAGTAGACATCCTTGTCTTGTTCCTGATTGTAGCAGAAAAGCTCTCAGTTTTTCACCACTGAGTACGATGTTAGCTATGGGCTTTTCTTACATGGCCTTGATTATGTTGAGGTATGTTCCTCTAAACCCACTTTGTTGAGTGTTTTTATCATGAATGGGTACTGAATTTTTTCAAATGCTTTTTCTGCATCTATTGAGATAATCATGTAATTTTTATCCTTCATTTTGTTGATGTGGTGTATCATGTTGATTGATTTGCAAATATTGAACGATCCTTGCATCCCTGTAATAAATCTCACTTGATCATAGTGAATGATCCTTTCACTGTATTATTGAATGTGGCTTACTAATATTTTGTCGAGGATTTTTTAAATAATTTTTTAGAGTTTATTTATTTATTTATTTATTTTGAGAGAGAGAGAGAGAGAGAGAGAATGGAGGAGGGGCAGAGAGAGACAGAGGGAAAGACAGAGAATCCCAAGCAGGCTCCACACTGTCAGTGCAGAGCCCAACATGGGACTTGAACTCACAAACCATAAGAGCATGACTTGAGCTGAAGACAAGAGTTGGATGCTCAACTGACTGAGCCACCCAGGCACCTTTTTTATTGAGGATTTTTGAATCTATATTCCTCAGGGATATTGGCCTGTAGTCTTCCTTTTTTTTTGGTGTCTTTGTCTGGCTTTGGTATCAAGGTAATTCTGTCCTCATCAAATGTATTTGGAAGCTTCCTTTCCTCTTCTATTCTTTGGAATAGTTTGAGAAAAAGAAATACTAACTCTTCTTTAAATGTTTGGTAGAATTCACCTGTGAATCCATCTGGTCCTGGACTTTCACTTTTTTAAATTATTATTATTAATATTACTGACTCAATTTCATTACTGTTAATCAGCCTGTTCAGATTTTCCATTTCTTCCTGATTCTGTTTTGGAAGATTGTGTGCTTTTAGGAATCTACCCATTTCTTCTAGGTTGTCCAATTTCTTGGTGTATAGTTTTTCATGGTATTCTCTTATAATCCTTTGTATTTCTGTGGTGTTAGTTGTTACTTCTCCTCTCTCATTTCTGATTTTATTTATTTGTATCCTTCCCCTTTTTTTCTTGATGAGTCTGGCTAAAGGTTTAGCAATGTTGTTTATCTTTTCCAAGAACCAGCTCTTGGTTTCACTGATTTTTCCTATTGTGTTTTTTAGTCTCTATGTCATTTATTTCTGCTCTGATCTTTATTATTTACTTCTTCTACTCACCTTGGACTTTGTTTTCTTTTTCTAGTTCCTTTAGGTGTAAAGTTAAGTTAGATTATTTATTTGAGCTTTTCCTTGCTTCTTGACGTAGGCCTGTATCACCATATATTTCCCTCTTAGAACTGCTTTCACTGCATCCCAAAGATTTTGGACCACTGTATTTTCATTTTTATTTGTCTCCGTGGATTTTTAAAAGCTTATTCTTTGGCTGCTTCATTGACCCATTAGTTGTTTAGTACCATGTTGTTTAATCTCAAGAACAGATAATAATGTAAACATATCTAGCTAGCACTCATAGAATCATATACTCTCATAGCTTAAGGAGAATTTTAAAGATGACTATTGTTGTTTAATCCCCTCATTATTCCCAGAGACAATTTTATGAGTGTCACTCATCTAGTTATTTATAGAGCCATAATTATAATTCTTAGTGTACTGCTAGTTCTATTCAATCCCAACAGCTCTGGTTCCTAATCTTGTGCCACAATATTTAAGGGTACACTCAACACAGCTTTCCTCACTAGAACATACCCTCCCAAGATGGCAAAAGTATTATCTATTTTAGTTTCTGTTACATTCTCAGAAGCTAGAACCATGCTGCATAGTAGACATAACTCAATGAACAAAGGAATTAAATAATAATTCATTAAATAATTAAATGAGACTATTGTTTTTATTAAAAACCTGCTCTTTTGACAAACATAAATATTCCATGCTTTTTCTATAATCTCCAGGTCAAACACAACTAGTAGTATTTTCATTTTCCAAATAGAAATACTGTAATATGAACTATAATCTTCAAATTACACATGCCACACTGTAGAGAAACAAAAAGACCAACTCCCCACCTCCTTATTTCACAACAGAATTTCCCCAGTGTGACTCAGTGTGACCTGCACCGATGGATTCTAGTGAGGTTCTGGCATGCTGCTCTTTAAAACTCCACTCTTCACTGAGAAGATATTTACTGAGCACATAGTCTATCTTTGGCAGTGTTGTAGGTGCTGAGAGGCAAACAAGGCCCTCTTAGGGAGGTGGTGAATTGCTCCTCTTAGAAACAGATGGGGTTTGTCATATGATAGGGAAGCTGGAAGTGGAAAAGTGAAATTGACTCCACAGATACGTTATTTCACTTGCACTAAGTACTCTAAGAGACAAGTTCCAGATGCCCTGTGAAGATTTAATGGGGCATTCACCTGGCATGGAGGTCAGCGAAGTGCTTTGCACATAGGTGTTCACTGGGTGAAATGCAAGGAAAGCCTCCCCTGGCAAAGGCAAAGCATGAGTGAGAAGCTTGATATGGGAAAGAACAGCAGAAAGAAGACCAATGAGTCTATGGCACTGGCACAAAATGAGGCCAAAACTGTAGGATGGAACCAGGTTGTGCCAGCCCTTGTGGTCATATTAAGAATGTGGCCACTCTAGGGGCGCCTGGGTGGCGCAGTCGGTTAAGTGTCCGACTTCAGCCAGGTCACGATCTCGCAGTCCGTGAATTCGAGCCCCGCGTCAGGCTCTGGGCTGATGGCTCAGAGCCTGGAGCCTGTTTCCGATTCTGTGTCTCCCTCTCTCTCTGCCCCTCCCCCGTTCATGCTCTGTCTCTCTCTGTCCCCAAAAAAATAAATAAACGTTGAAAAAAAATTTTTTTTAAAAGAATGTGGCCACTCTAATATGAGAGCAAGGGGAACCCACTGATAATCTTTAAACAGGAGAGTGACATTTGAAGACTTGTTATCTTTAAAACATCATTGGGTTTTCTGAGCTGTAAACAAATTCAAGGATGGTAACAGCAAACCTGGGACAATCAGTTGAAAGGAGGCTGCAAGAATCCAGGGGATTCCCTGACCTGGATGGGCCGCAGTGGAGATAGAAAGAGATGGGAAGCTTTGAGAGCGCTTTGGAGGTAGAATCGATCCAGTGGTGATCTGTTGTGGGCAGTGAAGTGGAGGGAGGAATCAAAGGTAACTTTCTGATCTCCGTGTGTCACCTTGAGGTCCCTAACACTGAGACCCGGATGTCCTCAAGGTCCAACACCAATTCCGACAGAAGTTCTCATTCCCAGAATATTCAAATGAGTAAGGGGCTCCACTTTGGGTGACAGAGTTCTCCGTTTTCCTTGGGTTGTACAAGACTCTATGTTCCAGATACAAGAAGTGACTGAGATAACTATACTAGATTCCAGCCCTGATACCAGCCGTTAGAGAGTTCTGCCCTGAACGTCTTCCTCCATCTGCTGAGAGCAGACACAGCTCACCATTCCCTCTTCCAGGCCCAGAGTCCAGGATTACCTTTCTGTGTAGAGCCCAGCTGGGCCAAACATCTGGGTGGTATTTTGTGGACCTTAAAGAAGGGCCTGCCTCTCCCAACTGACCCTGGCAAAGGGGTGTTGTTCAGTGCTGGGCATATCCAACACAGTATTTCTTCTTACATCAGTGCCTGCCCTCCTTCCTCCCTGATGCTCAGGGGGAAAGACCATATAGTTGGGGAGATTCACAGACATAGAGATTACAATACAGTCTCTGAAGGAATTTATACTGTAAGAGAGTCAAACACACTACCTGCTAACTTTTATCTCTTTTCTTCTTAATAGTTTGTTATTACGGGATACATCACAGGAATCAATGAGAAGAAAAAATGTATGGTAAGTTACTTTCATGACTTCTATGTAGTTTAAAACCTTCTGCTTGCTTTGCATCATCTTTCTATATAAAGCCTTTAAAACAAAGGGTCTCCCAAGAAAATCTTTAGACATCAAATTTGCAGTTCAGGTCATCCCTACCTGCCGACGTCACCATTAGCTCTCACCCCCACCAACAGAAGTTTTTCTTGGGGACCTGCCCAGGGTCTGAAAGAAAGAGTCTGACATTGATAGCAGATCATTCTGGGATAGAATCAAGGCTATCACTCATTGCTGTGTCAACTGGGAAGAGAAAAGTTATTCAAAAGGTTATTCTGAGAATTTAATAAGATATTACATAGAAAAGACACTTAAAAATCTGTACTACCTTCCAATGACTCGTGTTTTTTTTAAGGCTATGGATATGTGAGCCTTCTCTTAAAGCTATTCTAACACTGTTTTTATGGTCCCCTGCCACTTCCCTCTAAGAATAGCTACAGACTATAGGAAAGTTCTGGGGGAACTATGGGAAAGCCCCCATCTTTCTCCACCCATAGAAGTAAGTACAGACACTACAGATAATGACCCAATGCTGTTCTTTTCTCTGTATTGGTTCCCTTAAGAGCTGAGGAATAAACTAAGGACAGGCAGACCTAACCCTGACTCACTGAGAGCTACGTAGACAGAGGCAGGCAGGATGCTCTGAATATATATATTCAAGTTATAAAGGAACATATATATATGGAGTAGGAATATATATATATATATATATATATATGTATATGGAGTGAGTAAAGGGAATTTGGTAGGGCAATCTGGACTTTTAATACCTTCCATGTTGGGACACTGAAATCAAGAAAGGAAATCATTAAACCCCAGTCCAAATTTGTAGCAATCTGTAAATATGTTAGTGATTTGGTTGGTTATTGTTTGAATCCTCTGGGGGAATGAATATAAGCCACAGGAAGGCAGGACCTCATCTACTGTGTTTATTTTTGTGTCCCAGGGGCCTAATTCAGTGCTGGACACATAGTTGGGGTACAGTAAACATTTATTAAAATAAATAAATAAATGGATACTGCCCTAAAATTAGGTGACATTATTCTCATTTCTCGAGGTAGAAATTGAGCTTCCCAGAGATTAGTTACCTTGTGCAAGGTCCTAGTTCACTAGGACTCAAAATTAGGTCTGATTATAAGGCCAAGATATCTTCTAACACACCATTTTGCTTGTAGATTATGAAAGATGGTGCATTAGGATAAAATGAATGTCTTCTTTAGCATTAACCATACAGCACTCCTTCTCTACCCATTCCCTTTCGTGGCTTCCTGGCTCATTCTAAAACGTGGTTTGTCTTCTGACTTTGATGAATCAGAATTTGAGTTGTCTTGCCTTTTAAGTATACTGACCTGATGGAACAGTTCATCCTTGAGGCGTATCTGGAAAGACAAATGCACTAAGAATTTCTTACAAGGAATTTTTTTTTAATTTTTTTTAAGCACATGTTTTTTTAGATTATTTTTTTATTTTGTTATTTTAGAGAGAGAGAGAGAGAGAGAGTGCAAGCAGGGGAGGGGGCGGAGTGGGGGGGGAGAGACAGAGAGAGAGAGAGAGAGAGAGAGAGAGACAGACAGACAGAGAGAGATAATCTTTAAGCAGGTTCATGCTCAGCACAGAGCCCAGTGAGGGGCTCAATGCCATGACATTGGAATCATGGACCTGAGCAGAAATCAAGAGTTGGATGTTAAGCCAACTGAGCCACCCAGGCACCTCTTACAAGAATTTTTTTATTTGGTTTGGTTTTTATTTAATATTATTTTAAAACCTATTTTCTAGGGACAAGGTGTCACAGCCATGAATGTCATCAGTTCCTTGGTTGCGGTGGCTGGGATTACTCTAACCATTATCAGCTACAGGTACCAGCACAAGTACTGCCAGATGCCCTCCCTCGAAGGAATATGTGTTATAGGTAGAAACCTGTTCAATGTAAGTGGTCCTACTCCATATGGTGACTCTATACGATCTTATCTGAGCTATGTTCACGATGCATCAAGTCATTAATTTTGATTCTAATAATGGAAGTCGAGTCAGCATTTGAACAGACTCTTGAGAAGACACTGTGATTCAGGATCTGAACCCTGCTTGTGTGACTTACACACTTGTGACCTTGGCCTAATATTGTAACTTGCCTAAGCCCCAGTTTTCTTTGTGTGGAAAATGAAGATAATAAGGAGGGTTACTTAAATTAGAACACTGCCTGGCACAGTGTAAACAGTCAAATAGGTTTTGGCTATTACTATTAGTACGGATGTAGATTAGATGAAATTTTACCTTTCTAGAATTAAAAAGGAACAAAATGATCTAAAGAGTTTACTCAACTAATACTAAAAACAAAATACAGTGGGAGAAGATGTTTAAGCCACTTAATATGTATTCTAATAATTTTAGAACATAAACTATTTTACATAAATGTAGCAATGTTACTCACTACAGCAGATGAGATGTATCTTTGCCAGGAAATGCAACTGTAGGTGTAATTTTCAATATTTATCTAGTAAGTATTCAGTGACATTATTTTTATGCATGTCAGTGATTCCCAGAGGCCTCTCCCTTTACTTCCCCGAGTACATACTAGGCTTTCATTCTATTTCCGTCAGCCACATCTTGAAGGCTTTGGTCCCAGGATGTTAGTGAGACTTGACCTTTTGGATTGAAATGAAATAGAATCATGGGAAATTGTATCCCCAAATGAAGAGGAAAGAGAAAAGAACTACCAGTCACTGCATATGAGATCTTTTTACTCCTCATAATCACCTGTAAAAGCGAACCTAAGAACAATCCCATATATTCTGAGGTCAACTCCAGAATTAGACTCAAAAAAAAACTTACTAAGGAAAGCCAGAACACTACGTAAGGAACACAATCCTGTCCTAATTGGGCCAAGAATACAATATATTATAATTCCTTACTCTTTTTTCTAGTGGACAGGAGACCACTACTGTTCATTATGTTGGTATGAATCAGGGAGAAACCGTGTACCAAAAGGGTTAAATCTCCAGATTTATAAAACTCTGCTGTCTACTCTCAGCTCTGCACAGTTAGGGATTTTGCAGGATTAGTGCCTACATGCAGAATCATGAACAATCCGTTCCAAGACCTCATGTGTATACAACTCCACAATTCCTTAGTGTAATTCAAACATCACAAATAAGCTTTAAAACACACACACACACACACACACACACACACACAAGCCAGAACAGTGGGCTCTAGACATCTCCTGAATGGATATCTTCTGTCTCAAAGACAAATCTACTTGTCCACACTGTGGCCGGAGTCATCATTTAAAAATGCAGATCTGAGCACATTACTAAAGGGCTTCTTGTGAAATACAGAATTAAGACCCAAATCTTAAAAGGCTTACAAGACCCTGTAACACCTACCTTGCCTACCTTTCCAACATTATTCCGCGTCATTACCCTTCCCACTCCACACTTCTGGCACTTCCCCAAATTCCTTAATGTGTTAAATACCTACTGTCCCAGGACCATAAGACGAGCTTTCCCCTGCTTCCAATGTTCCCCAGCCCAGTGCCTACCCTCTTCCACCTACCCAATTAAAATTCCCCCTCATTCTTTAACCTCGGTTTAAATTTCACTTCATTAAGGAGGTCCATCCCGGGGCGCCTGGGTGGCGCAGTCAGTTAAGCGCCCAACTTCAGCCAGGTCACGATCTCGCGGGTCCGTGAGTTTGAGCCCCGCGTCAGGCTCTGGGCTGATGGCTCGGAGCCTGGAGCCTGTTTCCGATTCTGTGTCTCCCTCTCTCCCTCCCCCCGTTCATCTCTGTCTCTCGTCCCAAAATAAATAGCGTTGAAAAAATTAAAAAAAAAAAAAAAAAAAGGAGGTCCATCCCGATCCCGTTTCTACCCTTCCCAGGGCCGACCTGTTCAGATCTCCCATTATAGTAGTGCATGGCTCCCAATACTTTCTCATGGCACGTAATGCAACGTACTTAAAAATAACTGTCTAATTACTTGTCACTCTTTGCCCCCCTTATTTGATGCAAATCCCACAATGACCAGGAGCAGGTCTATCTTGTTCAACAGCAAATTTACAGTAGGCACTTCATATATTTCAGTTTTACCAACAAATGGGGGGAAATCCAGGCTTCTGGAGGGGTTATAGGGAAACCAAGAATTAGAGACACAGTCACGCGACCAAGTTAAGTTTGGCCCGACTGCACCCAGCTCTTTCAGTCTTCACAGTCTAAGCTTTTGGACACCATGCTATTTCACATGCTGCTTCTTCATCTATTACCTTGAAGCAGAGTGTGCAAAACAGCAGTCTGTGAGCTGCATCCAGCCTGCAGATAGGCTCTATTTGCTTCCCACAAGTGAAGGAAAAGCTGGAGATTTTCACATTAAAAATCTGTATATCCAGCTTCCTTAGGAAAGAAGAAAGACCTCATGGGGTCCTTGTTCCCACACGGTAACTATTGCTCAGAACTGGGAAATGGACACATCCTAGGAATATCTTTATTCTCTACTGTCTCCCCTTCCATTTCACTTATTTGGGATGGTTGCCTGGCCCCTACAGGCATTAGGGTTTGTTATCTCTGCTTGTCAAAAAGACATAAGATGAAAATTGTTCCGTCACTGATGGCTGTGGGGGCATCTAAAATATGGGTTTTCCCTTCCTTACTTGGTCATACGATGTAAATAGTCCTTGGCTTTTACCTTTAAAATGATACAGCTTTCATTCCAAATGCCATATATCTATCCTCACTATTTGCAGGGAATTTTGTCAGTCTTACTGGTCACCAGCATAGTAGAGCTCGGCATCTCTGTGACTATCTCCTCCTTCAGAAGCAAGTGCTGGACAACCTCCGATGAGGTGCGTTGGATATTACTGCTAGAATGGGTTCCTGTGGGGACACTGCAAGGTGACCCCCAGCCTATTAGTGGGCAGGGCAGTATTCTCAGATGTTGAACTACAACTTCTGAGGTGAGGCAGGTCAAGGAGAAACAAGCTTAACTAACAGCGATGGCTGGCTCACTCCACCCTTTGAGGCAGCCATCCTGCCCTCTTTGCTGTCTGGTCATCTCTGTTCAGACATAGCTCCTTCTCTCCCTGCCAGAGTATATGAAGAGAAACAGACTTAATGGGAACCTATATTACTGTGACACGGAGAGCTTCTCCCTGGGCCACAAGGCTGTGTGAGTCAATCCCCTCACCAGAGGAGAGGCAGAGAAGAAAAATATTTAAGAGCCATACTCCTGTTATTTATAATTGTTACAGCTTACATTTACTAAATGTTTACTCTGTCAGTCACTGTTGTAATCACTTAACACCAACTTAATCCTAACAAAACCATCAAGATTCCCTTCCTTTACATATGAAAAACTAAAACACAAAGAGTAACCTCTCCAGGTTCACAGAACATCAAGATTCTGACTCAAATAATGTGGTTCCAGGGATGCCTGGGTGGCTCAGTCTGTTGAGCCTCCGACTTCAGCTCGGGTCATGATCTCACAGTTTGTGGGTTCAAGACTTGCATTGGGCTCTGTGCTGATGGCTCAGAGCCTGAAGCCTGCTTCAGATTCTGTGTCTCCCTCTCCCTGCCCCTCCCCCTGCTCGTGCCACCTTTCTCTCTCTGTCGGTCTCTCTCTCTCTCTCAAAAGTAAGTGATCATTAAAAAATATTTTTTTAAATAATGTGGTTCCTGAGCCTGTTCTCTAAATCCCAAAAAACAATTCCAGGACCCGTGTTAAGTGGGGTTTTTTCCCCCACTTTTCTTTTACATCAACTTTGTAGAAGTATAATTTACTAACAATAAAATGCACCCATTTTAAATGTATGTAATTCAAGGGGTTTTGACAAATTGTACACCCCTGTTTAGCTACCATTATAATTAAGATATAGTGAATTCCTATCACCCCGAAGGAGTCTCTGGAACCTCTTTGCAATCAGTATCTCCATCACCTCGATTAGTTTTTATTTTTTCAAACTTCACATATGTGGATCATAAATAAGTACATTTTGTGTCTAGGCTTCTTTCACTAAGCAGCATATTCATGAGATTCATCCATGTTGTCTCATGTATCAATACTTTGTTCCTTTTACGTGAGGGCACACCACAATTTGCTTATCCGTGTACTTCCTGATGGGCATGTGGTTGCAATGAACATTTGAGTTCACATCTTTGGGTAGACATATGGTGTCATTTCTCTTTTGCATTTCTCAAATCCATGACCTCGTTGCTAGATGGGATGGAAAATGGACGCTTAACTTTGTAAGAAAATATCAAATGGTTCTCCAAAATGGCTGTATCACTTTGCATTCTTATAAGTAATATGAGAGGTATGGCTGCTCTCTATAACCAGCAACACTTGGAATTGCCAGTTGTATTGATAATTTTGTTATTCTAGTGTGTATGTAGTAGAATTTCATTGTAGTTTTAATTTGCATTTCCCTGATGGCAAATGATGATGAGATTCTATGTGTTTATTGTCCTCTTTTTTTTTTTTTGAGATGTGTCTCTTTAAATTGTTAGCCAACTTTTTTTTTTTTAATTTTTTTTTTTTCCAACGTTTTTATTTTATTTTTGGGACAGAGAGAGACAGAGCATGAACGGGGGAGGGGCAGAGAGAGGGAGACACAGAATCGGAAACAGGCTCCAGGCTCCGAGCCATCAGCCCAGAGCCTGATGCGGGGCTCGAACTCACGGACCGCGAGATCGTGACCTGGCTGAAGTCGGACGCTTAACCGACTGCGCCACCCAGGCGCCCCAATTGTTAGCCAACTTTTATTGCATTACCTTATTGAATTACAAGAGCTTACATGATTCTTAACACAAGTCCTCTTTTGAGATATATGTATTGCTACTATTCTTCCCAGCCTTGGCTTGTCTTTTCATTTTCTTAATAGTTTCTTTCACATAACAACTTGTGATTTATTTTCTTTTATGGTTAGTCCTTTTCGTGTCCCAACAAAGCTTTGCCTACAAGACTGTAAGGATTTTTTTCTCTATTTTCTTGTGGAAATTTTATAGCTTTAGCTTTTGTGTTTAGATCTTTAACAGATGTCAAGTTAACTTTTACACATTATATAGCTCTGAGGTGAGAAGTTCACGCACCCCTGCCATGGAGATATATAGCTATGCCAACGTTATTTGTCAAAAATGCAATGTCTTCCCCCATCACCTTGGCACCTTGGTTGAAAATCAATTGACCTCATATAAATATTTATATTTATATGAGGTCTCATATGACCTCATATTTATATGAGGTCTTTTTGGATGCTCTATTGTGTCCCACTGATCTGCATGTCGATCCTTTCACATATTCCATGCTGTCTTCATTTCTGTAGCTTTCATGTAGTAATCCTTTTTTAGTGGCAAAATATACATAATATACTATTTATCATTTTAGCTACTTACAAGTATACAATTCAATGGCATTAAATTCATTCATAATGATGTGTAACCATCAGCACTATCTATGTCCAAAACTCTTTCCTCATCCCCATACAAACTGCGCCATAAAACATAACTCCCCCTTTCCTCCTCCTTCCAGCCCCTCATACCTTCTAGTTTAGGTCTCTACATCTACCTTCCATTATCTACTAATGATTCACATTTCGTGAGACCACAAAATGTACGATCATAACCTGAGCTGAAATCAAGAGTCGGATGCTTCACCAACTGAGCCAGCCAGGCGCCCCCATGAAAGGGTTATTTTTTAGTGGCATGGCAATGTGAAAAGTACAAAGAGAATGCAAAGATGTTATGTAATATGCACCCTGATCCCAAAAAGAGGAAAGAGTTATTTATCAAACAACTTCTCTGTGCAAACCACCGTGCCCCAAACATTATTTTATATAGTCTTCAGTAATAGCCACCCTGGAGTAAGGTGTAACTGAAGTGGTTATTATAAAGCATATATCAGAGATGAGAGGGGAGGGGAGGGGAGGGGAGAGGGGGAGAAGAGAGGAGAGGAGAGGAGAGGAGAGGAGAGGAGAGGAGAGGAGAGAGAAAAGTGCAGGACCTAGAATTCAACTGCAGTGTATGACTCCTAGCCTCACCAGTTAATAGTTCTGGGACACTAGTCAGGTTACTTAACATCTCTGAATCTCAGCTCTCTCAGTTATAAAACAAGGAAAATAACCTCATATGAATGTCATAATAATTACTTGAGATGACTTTGGAACTCTGTCCAGCACCTGGCAATCACTGTTACCATTAGAGAAGAGTACATTTAAAATCATACACTTAAAATCTTGAATAAAGTTAAAGAAATTCCAATTCATGCCTCCAAATCTTTCTTTTAACAAATGAAAAAAAATTACAATTCAAATGAAACAAAAGTTTTAGGGTAAGTGAGAATGCATAAATCTCCCCTAAAGTACTATTTATCCTCACATAAATATCCCTCCAATGGTGATAAAATATAGATGTGAAAACAAACTAGAAGGTGGGGAATGACGATGATCATACAAGAGAATGTGGCAGGCATTTTATTTTAGGCCTGCCATCAATCAGAGAGGTCACCATCATTAGGTCATTTAACCACTCAGAGTTCCAATCACTTCATCAAACAGAACAAGTAGTCTATTCTGACTCTATGGATGACCTTAGAAAGGACACAGGATGGCAAAACTCAGCAGACTGAGGCTGTAATGACAGCCCCTTTCAAAAAAAAAAAAAAAGTAAAGACTGGGAAGCATTGGCTAGAGGTTGTATCAGATGCTGTCACTTAGTTGTTTAAAAAAACTTCAATAGATCTCATTTACCTGTAAAGGAAGGTCCGCATTTCCTGGCCTAGTGTCTTGGTACCTTCAGGCTGCTATAACAAAAATAGCATGGCCTGGGTGGCTCGAACAAGAAAAAGTCCTCAGAATTCTGGTGGCTGGAAGTCCAAGATCAAGAGGCCAGTAGATTCAGGCCTGGTGGATGCCAGATGGTTCACAGATGCCATCTTCTCACTGTGTGCTCACCTGGTGGGAAAGACAAAGGCGCTCTCTGGGTTTCTTTTATAAAAGCACTAATCCCATTCATATAGGCTTCACCCTCATGATTTAATTGCCTCCCAAAGGCCCCAACTCCAAACACCTTCGTGCTGTGGATTAAGTTTCCACTTATAAATTTGGAAGGGGCACACTCAATCTATAGTATTCCATCCCTGCCTGTCCCCCAAATTCATGCCCTTTCACATGAAAAATATATTATTTCCACCCCAACAGCACCAGAAGTCTTTATCTTGCTTCAGCATGAACTTCAAAGGCTAAGTCCAAAGTCTCATCTAAGTATCATCTAAATCAGATAGGAGTGAGACTCAATGTAAGATCCATGCTGAGGCAAATTCCTCTCTAGCTGTGAGCCTATGCAACCAAATGTGTTATGACACCAACCTTCCAAAATACGGTGTTGTGACAGGCATAGGATAGGCATTCCCATTCCAGAAGGGATAAATAAGGGGGGAAAAGGTCAGGTTCCAAGTAAGTCCAAAACCTAACAGGACAAACAGACCTTAAGGCTCAAGAGTGACCCCCTTTGGCTGGATGCTCTGGCTTCCAACCACACGTGGCTCAGCAGGAAGGCCCCACAGGAACTCTCTGCCTGAGCTCTGCCCCTGCAGCAGCTCTCTGCCTGGGCCCTTTGATTCTTCCAGGCTGGAGTCCCATGCCTGTGGCTCTGCTGGGGTGGGGCCCCAAGGCCGTGCTCCGTCACATGGCAGATTCTGAAACCTCAGTGGGGGTGGTCACACTCCCACGGCTCAGCTGGTTGCAGCCCATGCGGTGGTGCCCACCTCTGAGACACTGGGAGGGGGCATTCTGGCTTGGCTTGAACCAGAGGGATGGTCCTAGCCTTTGAAATCATTCTTCTTCCAGGGCTCTTACACTGTCAGCCCCTGGTAGGAGTGGCAGCCCTTGAAGCTCTCAGAATCACCTTTGGTGTCATTCTTCCATTGCTTGGAGAATAGGTTCTGGCTATCGTTGAGATGGCTGATCTATACTGATTTCCTTATCAAACAAGTCACGGCCGTACTCTTAGTGTTCTCATTTTTTTTGCAGAATGGATAGACTTGGTCCTGCTTTCTTTTTGCTTAACAATTCCATTTTTAAGTAATGTCTCTCTTCTCATATTTTACCATTAGCTAGCTATCTGAAGGATTCAAGCTTCACTTTCAACACCTCTTAGGAATAGCTTAGCTAGGGGTGCCTGTATGGCTCACTTGGTTAAACATCTGACTCTTGGTTTTGGCTCAGGTCATGATCTCATAGTTCATGGGTTCGAGCCCCATATCAGGCTCACAGAGCCTGCCCGTGATTCTCTCTGCCCCTCCCCCACTTGTGTTCTCTGTGTCTTTCTCAAAAAAGAAAGAAAAACTTAAAAAAAATAGCTTCAGCTAAATTTCATTATTACATAAAATATTTATCATTCATTATTAATAATTACTACATGAAATTCCATCATTTCCTTCACTATTGCAAGTTCTACCTCCCACAAAACATTAGGACACAAACAATTCAGCCATGTTCTTTGCAACTTTATAGCCAAGATCACCTTTCTTCCGGTTTCCAACAACATATTTCTCATTTCTGTCTGACACCTCATCAGGATGACCTTTATTGTCCATATTTCCACGAACATCTCGTTCAGGATTACTTAGGTATTCTCTAAGAAGACTAAGGCTTTATCTACAGCTCTCCTTTTTTTCTTCCTGGGCTCTCACCAGAATTGCCCTTAATGGTTCATTCATAGCAATGTAAGTTTTTTCTAGTATGTAGAACTCAAACCTCCTCCAGCCTCCAAACATTACCCATTTCCAAATATACTTCCACACTTTTAGACATGTGTTACAGCAGCACTCCCATTTCCTGGCATCAATTTCTATCTTAGTCCATTTGGGCTGCTATACCAAAGACAGAGTGGCTTAAACAACAACAACTTATTATTCATAGTTTTGAAAGCTGGGAAGACCAAGATCAAGGTACTGGTAGATTCAGAGTCTGGTGAGAACCTGTTTCCTGGTTCATAGCTGGTAGTCTCACTGTGTCCTTACATGGAGGGAAGGGCACGGGAGCTCTTTGGGGTTCCCTTTTATAAAAGCACTAATTCCATTTACGAGGGCCCCACCCCCGAACTAATACCTCTCCCAAACATTCTACCTTTAAATACCATCACACTGGAGATTAGGTTTCAACGTAGAAGTTTGAAGGGACACAAACATTCAACTTATTGCAGCTAGCATACCACCCAACAATATGTTTATCATCTGCCTTCACACTATGCTGCATCATAGCCTTGTTTTTCTACCCACTGCCTCTTCTACCTGCATTTCACTCCTATCTTACTTCATCTTACCTTTTTGCCAGAGGAATTCCTGTCCACCCATCAAGACATGGATCAAACATTCCTCAATGAAGCAATTTCCTGGCCCTCAGAATTAGGTCATGACTTCTACATTCCCATAAAGCACTTAGCACCTATTTATATAATAGCATTTGCTAAACTGTATTACTGTCTATTTATATCTTGGTATACCTATAATTGTGAGCACCTTATAGACAACGGCCACATCCAATTAGTTTTGATCTTCACCTAGCAAGTGAACAGTAAATCATTATAAAACTGAATATATGAATGCTGAGAAGATTATTTTAAATTTCTTAGAAGCTTCATAATATTAAGTATGAGAAGAATATTTCAGACAATCTTAACCAAATTCCCCTTTTCGATATTTGAGGTAATAGTGATAAATAGTGATAAAACCAGTGAGTCGATGGTAAAGACAATGTTAGTACTGGTATTTGTTTTCTAACTCCTTGTGTAGATGTTGTGTCCTCCCTACTGTCTTAAGGCAGAGGCGAAAAATAATTTGGGAATACAAGAAGAAAAGAACATCCAAGGTGATTGATTATTCCATTAATGTTTTCTATACCCCTTGGTTTTATAGATTGTATTTTTCTTGCCTTCGGATGTTATTCAAGAGAGTGAACTCTCTGTCCCTGAAGAAAATACTGCAGTACAATTTGAGCTTCAAGAACAGTCCTCCACTGCTGATTCAACAACAAACATACAACCTGTTTTCATTGGAGGCTATACTTTCTTCAAGTTAAGAGTCACAAGAAATCCTTTAGCTTTCAGACATTCAAGGAGGAGAAGCAGTAAAACTTACTACACATCTTCTGTGTCTATGCTAGATGAACAACAGAAAAGTATTTCTCCACCTTCACAAGTTTATGAGGAAAGACCTAAGCTGAAACCTTTGCTTCCCACATTGCTGGAAAGGTCCACAGAAAACATCCCATATGCCAAACAACTGAAAGATGAAGACCTAAAATCTGCTATTGCACAACGCCCAGAAAATCAAACCCAACTTCTGCAGTCCCGCGCTTTGCCACTCCAAGTTTTCCCATCCAGTTACATAAAAAAACTCCAAATGTTACCACCCCAGGCTCTGCCAGTCCTGGCATCTCAAGCCCCAACATACCAGGACACACAGTCTCCAGGCCTGACATCAGAAGACATGCCATACCAAGACATATCATCCCAAGAATCACAATACCAGAGCATGCCATCCCAAGATACACAAGCCCTAGACATGCCATATCAATATGCACCATCCCAAAACACACCATCCCAGAACACATTAGCCCAAGACATGCCATCTAAAAATATATTATCCCAAGACATGATATCCCAAAAGCCGCCATCTGAAGGCATACTTTACCAAGATCTGCATTCCCAACTACAAGCTCTGCCAGCACAATCCATGCTACTTGCAGCCCCAGCATTTCATGCAGCCCAGTCCTCTAATATACAACGCCTAGATCAGCAAGCCCTAGATCTTCAACATCGAAATCAGCAACTTGCACGTGTATCGTACCAAGACATGCAATCAGAAGTCATGTTACTGACCCAAGAATGGAAATCTCAGGAGGAATTCCAGAGCAGGAAATCCACAAAGTGGCAATCCCTAGACTGGCAAAATGAGAACCTGCAATCCCGAAAGTCACATGATTTATACAGGCAAAACAAAGGCTGGCAAACTCCAAAACAGAAATCCCAGGACTTGCAAATGCAAGGCCAGCAATCCCCAAGAAAGAAATCCCTAGACCAGCACATCAAGGACTGGTTATCCCCAAAGAGGCACTCCATAGATAAGCAAAGCCAAGTTAAGCAAACCAGACAGAAGTCCTCAGATCAGCGAACTAAAGACCAGCTGCTGGTCTTAGAGGAACAATCCCTAAGGCAGCGATCCCCAAGTGGACAACGTAAATATCAAGAGGACAAAGAGGAAAAATCCCCAAAGGAACAGCCCAAAGATAGACAAGATAAAGCTCAACAGACTGATACGGAGAAATCCCCCAAGAAGCAAACCCAACAGGAGCACACTAAAGATCTGCAAGTCCGAGAGGAGAAATCCCCAAAGGAACAACCCAAAGACAGAAAAGATAAAGCTCAACAGACTGATATGGAGACATCCCCCAAGAAACAACCCCAGTATGAGGAGGTTGAAAACCTGCAGGCCCAAGAGGAGAAATCCCTGAAGCAGCTACATCAAAACTGGCAATCCCAAATCCAGGAATACCAAGCTTGGCAATCTTCAAGCCAACAATTCCAAGACCGGAGAATTCAAGGCTGGAGAAACAAAGAGTGGAAAGCACAAGAATTGGCACTTGAAATGCCACATTCCCTGAGGTGGGAATCCCAAGCCTGGCAAACCCAAGATCTACTAGAGAAAGAGTCCCTAAAGCAGAAAGCTCTATACCAAGAAGCCCAAAATGTGCACGTCATAACTCGACGTCAGCAATTACAAAGCATTCCATTCAACGACAGTCAGTATCAAGATGAGGAACAAGACCTTAAATCCACAGATATCCAAAAAGAAGGTATGCAAACAGAAACCGTGCAAATAAGAGACAACAAACCAGAAAGCATGAAATACCAAAACCTACACAACCAGCAGTCAGAAGACAAAAATTCAGATTGTTGTTTCTCCTGCCAAAGCTCAGTACAAGACACAAATTTGGCCTATCTGTCTGATATAAATTCAGAACAAGATGTGCAAAAAAACATTTCAATTTGCTCAGCTTCATACCAAGATGATATGACTTTAACTTCTACCTCATGTTCCCCAAAAGACCAACAGCAATCTGAGGACTCTGACTAACATGGAAAATCTACCCAAATGCCACAATGCTCCCAAGCATGCAACCAAAATAAGGAAAAACAATATAGTCTCCTCCAACCTATGTTCTCAAGTCTGGTTGCTACCTATTCACTCGCCAGAAAACAAAGGGCCTGCAAAACACTCAAAGGATTTGCCCTTAACTAAAATAAAATGACAACAAACATTAACACCATAGTAGAATTTTCTGGGTTTGAAGGAGTAGCTCACATTTAAACTTTGTTGTCGGTGTTAGTCTTTCAACTTATGATCGCCAACTCATTTTACAGCTTAATACATTTTTACTGAAGTATAGTTGACATACAATACTGGCTGCAGGTGGACATCATAGTGATCTGACAATTCTATACATTATGAAATGCTCACCACAGCCAAGTGTGGTCACCACCTATCACCATGCAAAGTTATTACAATATTATTGACTATATTCCCTCTGCTGTACTTTTCACCCCCACGTCTTATTTATTTCAAAACCAGAAGTTTGTACCTCTTAATCCCCTTCACCTATTTCTCACACCACCCACCTCAACCACCGGTTTCTTCTCTATGAGTCTATTTCTGTTTTACACCTTAATACTTAATGGACCTGCTTTTCTATGGCGCTAATATTCCTCGCCTCTCACTCTGTGTATTACAGGGGCTCAGTAAGTCAACCAGAAAGAAGTCTGTGTAGGCTCTCAAAAGGTGCAAGAACCAAAAGAGTCTGTGGGAAATAAAAATCAATCCCACCACTCCCCTGGTTTCCGATTCCAATCACCCACTTTACTCCCTGCTCTGCAAATCTACGTGGAGGATGTATACTCTAAGTTTGCCCAGTTATTAACGAGGTATAATGTGGCAATGAGTACAGAAGTAGTGGACAGGGAGAGAACAAAACGTACTTAGAGACAGGGAAGTAGGAGGCAGGGGAGGGCAGGGATGCAGATGTCAAAACAGAAAGTAGGACAGACTGTGATACACTGAGCAAACTTCTACTCCCCTCCATATGCTTACACTCACTTCTAACTCACTACACTCACACATCTAATTTCATCCTCAGTGGTCAAAGAAAATTGACCTTTGATGGTCAAATTTTCTGGTGAAAAGCCATCAGTTACCCTGTATCCTCCAAGCTTAATAACATTTTTTCAATCCTCTTTCTCCTCAACTTCTCTGATACATTTGGACCTGGGAACCCTCCTTTCTCTTCATCTCGCTTGTTGGCTTCTGCATTTTTCTTCCCATTTCAAAAAGTCTAAGATAAGTATTTCCAGGGATCTCTCTCCAACCTCCTTCTTTTTTGAAATCTCACACTCTTTTAGTTCTCTCACATCCTTGTGAGTCACCCCATACTGGGTCATATCTGTGTCTTCAGAAGAATCCCACACAAAAACTTGTTTTCAAGTCTTTTTCAAAGGCATTCAGTCATTTTTTAAAAACATAAACTCTCCACTTAGAGGTGAGTGAAGTTATATGCAGTAGAATAATGAGGCATAGAGCCAGAGACACTGGTAATCTGCTCCTTGTTGCCTTTGCCTCTGTAGTAAGGATTAGCCTCCTGAGCTTCCCAAGTTGGTTCAACCTTGGTCAGGTCCCTACCTGAGTTGGCCTCCAGTTCCTAAATGGTTGCCACTTTGTATTCAACTGGCTCTGGAGAAGAATCCAACATGGCAGAGAAGTAGGGGGACCTGAACTCATCCCTCAAACACAGCCAGAGGATTTGTAATTCCAAGAGTCTGGGCTGCAGAGTGACAGAGACGTCTCCAGGGGCCCACAGGGACAACCTGGTGGGCCACAGGTGCATGATTGTGAACTGGGGGAGATAAAATGGGCAGCGTAGGCACAGAGGGGAGTGATCCCCTTCTGTGGAGAGACAAAGGGAAGAGAAAGAGAGGCTGTGGAAGGGGAGGATTGTATTCAACTGACTCTGAGTAATACTAATAAATCCCCCTTTTGCTTCAGCTAGATTAGCACATGTTTACATGGTGCTTATGTGATGTGTTTCAGTCCACAAACTTGGGTGTGGACTGAAATATTTGTAATTCTTCATCATATTCTTTAAGAATCCAACCCCTGCAGTCAGTTCTGCATTTTTCTCCATACCCATCCAACAAAGTCACACACACACATTGATGCACCATGTACCATAAGGTCTTGGGGTCTTAAAATAGTGCAAGTCCTTGGAGAGGTGATTCCTGTGGCTAGTCCACACCACTTACCACCGAGAAACTCATTGCTTTGGTTCATATTAGACCCTAAGTGTCCTGTGAATTTGATGCTTCTGTACCACACCTGGAATACAGGATCTTTTTCCAAAATTGCAAAAATACAGTGTCTAGGGTCTGGACTTACAATGTAAAAATGTAAGAAAGATAAAAACCATCTTCTGAGAGGTTTTTCCGTCCCACTGAGAATGATTCTAGGGAGCAAGTCAGAGGCCCCTAAAGCCCCCTGGGGCCCACAGCAACTTTCCAATCTGCAAGAATTCCACTTTTCTCTGCTTTTCAAAGGCAATCTCTCCCTCAGCTCCCCTTTTTGAGGTACCTTGTACTGTCCCATCAATGAGTTTGAGTCTAGAGCTGACAAAATCAAATGTGTTTAGGAGCCAACAAAGGAATGTAAATGTGTGAAGGAGCTGTTTATAAGACCAGGTGAAAAGGCTATAGGGAGCCAGAGCACTGATGATTTACTTAAAGGAAATCTAATTGTTGTTTTTTTTTTTTTTAACTGTCTTACTAAACCTAAACCTTACTAAACCTAACCTAGGTTAGGTTTTCATAAAATTGGAAGAGTTGATTTTCTTTTTAATATGAAATTTATTGTCAAATTGGTTTCCATACAACACCCAGTGCTCATCCCAACAGGTGCCCTCCTCAATACCC